AGAAAAGAAAAAAATAAATCCGTAGATGCACTTATTGTAAATGTGGTTAGGTTAGTAGGTTTGACTTCAAGTTCTTGACTGCCTTACAGATGTTTGGGCAGGTGGCTCTGAAAGACATAGTAAAGACTTGTGGGAGAAGACATAATGAAAAACAATAAAGGATTGTAGAATAATATTGAACAATTCTGAAATTGCAGTTCTTTTGATGCTTGTGATTATTGAAGATGTACTTTAGAGAAATTTCATTGAAAAGATATGACTCTGATGTTAATTCTGTAGAATAGCAATGTATACCAAATGTAATCTTTCCAATGCTATGAAGAATTTATACATGAAATTGATATGCAATAAAACCTGTGTGCTTTTTAAATGAGAAGGCCACTGTGTTTTTGTGAACTTTAAGTGCATGAGAATCATCAGTCAACAAAGAAGACAACAAGTCATCAAGTGTTTTACTTCTTAGTTTACAATTTATTATTCAGGGCCAGCTAAAGCTGAAGCAGTCAGTGGTTTAATCATTTAAATCATTTATCAAGCATCAATAACGAGCACTTAGTTCCTGCATTTCAAATGTGAGGATTTGATGCTTTTCCCTGTTTTCTATCATTACAAACTGAATACATTTTGCTTTCGGGCAGATCACACAAGCTTTTTAAAGGAGCTACAGGCATGTGTAAGTTTTGCTTTTGCTATATAGCCAACGTTAGCATTAACAACTGTTTACTCACCAGTCTTGCCAAGCGCTTCAGCCAATGTTGCCTTTACAATACAAGAGGTTATAATATGCCCCCTGAGCACCGCTACTTATTCAGGGCAGACTACACGCTACAGTGACTCGGTGTCAGAAAATGACAAGATGGGTCGGCCGGACCGTGGCTAGCTTGTTAGCATGTTAACTCCACCAAAAGAAAAGAAATGATAGAAATAGAAGCAAAGCAAGGGTTTGCTTTCCACCACTTGAGAACTCTTGGCAGGCAAAGGAATGAAGTTTGATGCTGAATTCACAAGGCTTCTTCTAAACTGGTAACTAAACAGCTGTTAATGCTAACATTGGCTCTGTAGCAATAGCAAAAAATAGCACCTTTAAGAGTAACCTTGTTCTCTTGGCATTTTTTATTACTTACATTCACATCCACTTTATATACTTAAGATTAGAACAGACTATATATTTAACATTAAAATAAAAGATTCATGAAAACAATCAGTGCTGCTGTGTGTGCATAACCACCGGAACATGTGCATTCTACTGTGCTGTGCACAGCTGGCTGGGAATAGTGTAAAACAAAGGTTGAAGTCAACATTACAGAAAAGTGAAATTTATTGTTATAATCTGTGAGTTACCTGTGTTTGGGTTGTAGGCATTTTCAAGGTTTGTAACAAAAGTCCGAAGACCAGAGGAACATATGTGTCAAAGGGCCTGAGAGTTAGCTCACCTCAAGCCACCAGAGAGGCTGAGAAAGACGTCTGTTTGACTGAGAGAAAAACATGTGTTTTAAACAACAAGGCGGTGATTGCAATAAAGAATTTTATCTAAATTGCTTTTTGCCAGCTTCAGTACACTTGTCACATTATCCTGGTTAATTTTGTGCTATTCGCCATTCTCTGCAGGGTCTGAAAATACACTGATTTTCAGGATCTTCAAATATTAAATTGCTCTTTTAGTTTTGAGTCTTACCTTCTCCATCTCTCTTTAGAGCCTGCACATGTTGCTTTGTGATTTCTGACCTGGATTTTATGGTGATCAGTCCTCCTGACTGTGCTGAGAAAAATGTGACATTTAACATTTAACACGTAACATTTAATACTTGAAGTACGTCATCTGGAAAACAACACTGAAATAAGCTACCTAGTAGAGGGAAGTTAAGTGATAGGAAGTTTGTAATAGACGAAGAGGAGATTCCAATAATTAGGGAAAGATCGGTAAGGAGTCTAGGTAGGTGGTACAAGGCAGACTTGAATGACGGAAAACAGGTAGTGCAGTTTCGGAAGGATGTTGCTGAGGGACTGGATAGAATAGATAAATCAGGGTTTCCAGGAAAGTTGAAGTTGTGGTGTCTGCAGTTCTGGTTATTTCCCAAGCTAATGTGGCCACTGTCTGTATATGAGATTCCATTATCTGCTGCAGAAAAAATGGAAAGATTAGTTAGCTTTTACATTAGGAAGTGGCTAGGTGTTCCTGGATGTTTAAGTACAGTGGCACTGTATGGGAAAGACATACTTCAGCTCCCAGTAACTAGTCTAGTGGAGGAGTTTAAATGTACTAAGGTTAGGACAGAGCTCCTGTTATCTGGGAGTAAAAATGTGGTAGTCAATAAGGTGGTTCCAAACCCAATCAAGGGGAGAAAGTGGAATCCAAGAATGGCAGTGCAGGAGGCGGAAGCAACACTCAGGCATACAGAGATTGTGGGTAATGTCCAAATAGGCCAGGGAGGCTTGGGGCTTGGCCCAGGCAAACCGGTGTGGAGTAGAGCAGGTCCCAAAGAGAAGAGAAAGCTAGTTGTGGAGCAGGTTCGTAGACAGGAGGAAATATTAAGGGGTGCAGAGGCAGTGGCTCAGGCTAAGCAGGGGCAGTGGGTTGAACTTGGGGGGGAAAGGTGTAGACAAGAAAAAGCTTGCTGGAAAGAGCTGTGGAGTATGGAGGAAAGTAGTATTAGATTTTTGATAGGGGCAATTTATGATTATTGCCAACTCCCCAGAACTAAAACTCTGGGTAAATGGAGACCCGTTATGTTCATTGTGTTCAGGTACTGCAACTTTAAAGCACATTTTGTCAGGCTGTAAGGTTAGTCTGTCGCAAGCGGTATACGTGGCGACATAACCAGGTTTTAAAAAGCTTAGCTGCAGGAATTGAAGATTTAGGAGGCAGGCAAATTTAGGAAGGGCCTAAAAATAAGAGAGTTGCAATCAAGTTTGTTCAAGAGGGAGAGAAAGTTGGTAAGACACAAGGAGGCAAGGCAGCTTAGAGGATGCTTGTGATTGGGAAATGCAGTAGATTTAGGAGGAAAGCTTGTTGTTCCCAGGAAATAGCCAGTACAATTTAAGGCCTGACATAGTCTTCTTCTAGGAGTAGAATGAAAGTATATTTTCATAGAGCGACTGTTCCGTGGGAGGCTTCAGTTGAAGAAGCATATGAAAGGAAAAAGCTCAGGTATGTAGAGTTAGGGGCAGAAGCAGAGCAGCGAGGATGGAAAGTTAGGATTTGTCCAGTGGAAGTAGGATGTAGAGGATTGTAGCAAGGTCTGTTGTTTCTTTGGAGAGGAGTTAGGAGGAAGTGGACAGAGTGTGAGGAAAATAGTAAAGGACATGTCAGATGAGGCAGCAAGATCCAGTCAGTGGATTTGGATGAGAAGAATAATGGTAGCTGGGGGCCAGCAGGGGGAGCACTTAGGATAGACAGTCTTAGGAGAAGCAAGGAAGAAATCCAGGAAGAGAAGTGTTTTTAAGTGGGGGGTGTGGCCGTGTGAGCCTCTTTGAGACCATGCGGTTAGTCCAGGTGAGGTGGCCTGTATTGTTTGTTTGCATTGTTTGAATGGTTTGTAGTGTGTTATTGCTTTTGTCTTTGGCTGTTTAGGTGAGTTGGTTTATTTTAGGTGAGTTGTGGAGAGTAGGAGAGTGGGGGGGGGGGGGGGGGGGGGGGGGGGGGGGGGGGGGGGGGGGGGAATAGCACAGCCTAATCCGGCGGGGGAGAGCTAGCCCAAAAAGGCACCTCTCCCTGACTCTACCTCCCTCATTGTCTTGGAGAGTGGGGGAGTAGGGCGAGGTAGAGCACAGCCTAATCCGGCAGGGGAGAGTTTAGCTTAAAAAAGGCATCTCTCCTTAACTCTACCTCCCTCATTCAAAATGCCCCCACTTTCTCCAACTGGTTAGGGGAGTTTGTTTGCTGAATCTGCTAGTGTGTTTTGTCCGAGTTGATGATGTTGTTTGTGGTAGCATAGGCAAGATAAAGGAGAAAATAGTTGTGGTGTGAGGAGCAGTGATGGCTGGCATTAGGGGAGTGACTCTGGGACGCCAGTGATCACTGTCTAGCCTCCTGGAGGTGTCGTGGGACCAACTAGATGAAACACTGGTGAAAGGAGGTTCCCACCTGATGACCCCAAAGATATGTTAGTTATCACTGCTCATTAGTCTGTATAGCTAAATTAATACTTATCATAGGACTTAGGATGTTAAGCTTAGGGAGCTATTCACTGAGTCTGGTCCATTTTCTGTAGCACAAGTTTCTTGCATGTGTGTGTTTACCTTAAATTCCTATATGTAGGAATGTAGTGCCCAATCTTTCAATTATTAATTTAGTAAGATTCAAAAGGAGTATATTAATATCTATTCTCAATGATGTGCATGCTCGGGAGATCTCACTGTGTAATTTTAGGATTTACAAATAGATTTTTAAAAACTACTATGCAGATTGTCAAAAGTTTAAATCATTGTTTAAAATAACTTCATGGCTGACACTGACAGGTTCTAAGACCTGACTATATATATAGATCATCCTCACTGAAATTGAAGTTTGTAAACAATGAACTTGATATAAAAAAAAAAATATATATATAATGCTGCAATAACGTCCAGTGGCAGGCTGGAGCAGTCAGCTGTGCAGCTGATGTGATCTCAGTCTCATTTTGCTTCACTAACATTATCAAGTCTAATCTAAAACCAACAGCAAGTGCTGAGTCAACGTCATAAAGTCCCCATGTAGAGCTGCTCATCTGAAAATGAATCAGAGTGACTGTGTTGATTGAGTTTAAAAGTCAGTTTAAATCACATTATGATTACTCACTGTTCATAAGAAAAATGTAATTTATGTTTGAGCAGTGGGTCCAAACCGTTGTTCAACAATAAAAATACTTTTGGCCAATCCTACATTTCTTTCTCTCAAACAGCTGTGATGTATTTATTTGGTCTTCTTCTTATGATAAAAGGATATTTCATTTTTAAACACAATTCACCACGTTTTCAAGAAAATCCCAGATTGTACTGCAATGATATATTTATACCTTTTATTCAAATGCAAACAGCATTAATATATTTCATATGTACAAATCATTATCACTGCTAAGCTTTATCATCCACATTTCATGTAGAAATACTGTACATGAGACTATAATTTGCAGATACTGATAGTCCTGTATGTCAAGATAAGATATTTACAAATCCAAAAAAAAAAGCACAGCTACTGTATCTTGCATTTGACAGAACTGAGGGAATATTCTCTCTCACATAAACAACACATGACTTTTCAAGTTTCTGCTGAACAAGTAAAAAACAGTGAAGGACCAGACAGTAAAGGTTAGATGGTTTGGTTGGCTGCTGTGATCCAAGGAACAAGTAAATAAAGTTCTCAGTGCTGATCTGAATCCAGGTAAAGATACAGGATTCACTTGAGTTTTTCTTAGACCACATTGTTTTTGAACATTTTCACGTTTTGTCATGAAATTCTACACTTCCATGAACTAATGTTGGTAAAAATTTGGTACATATATTCCATCACTGTGGATCACTGTGTATTTTGAAATCCAGAAAGAGAGTGTTGTCAATCAGCTGCATATAAAGGGAAAAGAAATGATACTTTTATCAACATGTACTGATGCACTGCTGCAGTGTGTGCACAACCATCTTAACAGCTGAAGAAAACGTTTCCTTCTCACGTGGTGAAAAGCAGATGACCACTGAAGGTGCTATGGTGATTTCCATTGTCAAAAATCCTCGCGTTAACCCACAGCTGCAAAAACACGACGTCTCCGACCTCTAACATCAGTGTGACGCCATTAGCAGAAGTCCCATAATGGGACGGCTGATGCTCATATGCAATAAAAATATTCTGTCCATTCTTGACCAACACAGCACCTGAAGGGTGTGAAGCATGTCCGTGTGCACCTATGTAGAACTCAAAGTGGTAGGCTCCTCTCACTGGTGAAATGAAAAAACCTGTGGGACATTTTTTTCAGTGAATGTTAGTGGAAAATGGTCTGTTGCAACATCTGTCAACCAGGTTAGAGTCAGCAAAAATCAAAGTAATTATTGAAGTTTGTGAATTTGGGTACCTGTGTGTGGGCTGTAGGCATTTCCAATATTTGTAACGACATGTCTGAAGACCAGAGGAGTGTGTGCGTTAAATGGTCCAATAGTTCCTGAGCCTGAAGCCAGCAGAGAGGCTGAAAAGGCCACCTGTTTGACTGAGAGAGAAACATACTCATTTTAAAGTGGCTGATGTTACAGAAATTTGCTAGTTATTGTAATGCAGCTTCTTTCAAAATTTACAAACCTTCTCTCTCTCTCTTCAGATTCTCCACCTGGTTTTCTGTGACATTGGCCCTGGCTTTAATGGTGGTCAGGTCTCCTGACTGAACTGAAATCAAATGAATAAAAAAAAAAAGTGGCTAGGAGAAATAAACGACAACAATCTGACAGTTAAAAGTGTTTCATCATTGTTTTCCTGAAGGTTTGCTTTGGCCACTAAAAACCTGGATATTGTTGAAATAAATGCATTCATACAACATGCTTCATTAAAATTCCTTGTAAATATATTTTGGCTTTTGGCGTTCTTGTTGTTTTAATATGTAATTTTGACATAGATATTTTTCATTGCTCAAAATATACCTTGAACCTGTTGCTTCAGATTGTCCACATGAGTCTTTTGCAATTCCAGTTCTCTCAGTTGAGCTGCTTGTGCTAAAAATAAAACAGATTAAATGAAAAGACAGTACTGGCAAACATTTCTGTCCTCTGTGTATGAACTGCTGTGGTGGTATAAAAATCTTCTGTAACAAAGTTTCCGTTCCCAATGCCATTGCTTGTCACATTCTCTCATTGCCTGACATATAATTACTGTACCTTCATTCTCTCTCTGTAAGTGCCTTATCTCCACCTTCTGTTCAGCCAACAAGGCGGTCATCTCTCTCAGCAGAGCATGGATGTCTTGTGGACAGCTCTGTTGGTGGTAAGAGGCATTTGCTGGTTCCCTTGCCTGGGATTCAATTTGCTTTCCAAGCTGAATCACTTCATTGTCAGACTCTGTTTGAAGCTGAGCCTTGGAGAAAGAGCAGATCAGCAGCAACAGTGGGAAAAACATGGTCACCTCTGTTCTTAGACTGGCAGTCTGTGCAGTTCAGCTTTGTGGTTTCTGCACTTAAATAGTGTCTTATCCTGATCAATCATTACCTGACATTGGTTTTATCAGAAACACGTGAAGGAGATCTGTTAAGACTTATTACTTCAGACTTGTAATCTATAAAAAACAAACTGAAAACACAGTAAATGCTCTATTAGTACCTGTATGATGGAATGTAGCCGCTAGTCCTTGAATAATCCTACACATAACATAACACTATGTAATTTGACTTGCAACTACATTTTAATTACTACAATGTGGACTAGCGAAGGTTAAAACCATTGTTAAAAATTACCTAATGATGATAACAGACAGGTCAGTCTGAAAAACTGAAGAACTTGATATAAAAACATTGAAGGAGAGGCAAGACAACTACACAAAAACTTATCATCTCCAACTGTTCAAACATTAATGAAGAATTCAGATACAGGGACCTCCTTTAGGCTGTTAATTGGCTGAGATAAACCAAGACTTACAGGAAACAGCAGCAATAAAGAGTATTTTTCTCTCTTTGCTTCCTCAATGAATCAGTCAGGGTGATAAAGTCTGGCTTTTGAAGAGCAACAACAACAATGCTACAGTAATAAGACTGTTAACACTGAACAACACTGATAAAAAAAACAAACAAACAATAAAATGCTACTATAACATCCACTGGCAGGCTGGAGCAGTCAACTGTGCAATCAATGTGATCTCAGTCTAATCTGAAAACGAACAAGTGCTGAGTCATTAAGTCATAATGTGACATTGTGTAGAGCTGCTCATCTGAAAGTCATTCAAACTTATTGTATTGATTGAGTTTATAATGTCATCAATATCTGTGACAACACCAATTTAAAATCTATTACCTGTGGCAGACAAATAGTAGCTATGTGCAAATGTATAAGCACTTAAAGTAATGGATAAAAAAACTACTTTTCATCACTACTGCAATATAGTTGTTTCCTTTCAAATTTGATTTGTTTATGGCTAATGTTGGTTGATTGTATAAGATCATTTAAATCTCGCACCGCAACCTCAAAGAGTTTGTACCGGCCCAAGGTTATCAAGAGCCCCCACCAGAGGGCACTGTTATTTTAAATTTCAATCTTCAGTTTTCAGTTTGGGCAGCCAGCATGTGGAATTCTTCACCACACTGAGTGTATTAGTTATAACCATTTTATAGTTTGGATAAGTGGCTGAAGGAAACGCTAACATTTAATAACTAAGCTGATGCTTAGAATCAACAATAATTCTTTTGGCTCTGATAAAGTGAACACTGATGGAAATTAGTTTCTAGCTCTCTGGTGCAATACTCTATATATTTGTGTTATCATCAATAATTCCCATGAAAGGCTGAAACCATGGATGAAGCGATTCAGCTAACAGGTCTGTGTAGTCAGTGCCTGGTATAGCTTATCTTCTGTGCCATAGAACTCCGTTGTTGTCCAAAGACTATTTCGAAACATATCAGTGAGCCCCACTGTTACACTGGCAGACGTGTCCTCAGTAAATTGAGAATGACCACTGTAGTTTGAGTCAATCCCACATTCACTCTCCTGCTGCTCTAAATACCTAGCCCTGCGCCACGTGTATCAATCTGCATCTGAAAATAGTTAGCCTTTATTAATGTGACCTTCCCACTGAGCACCAAACATCCGGATATGCACGTGCATTTAGCGAAAATCGAAAATATAAGGATGGGTTTAAGTGCCAGCACATAAAAAGCAAGGGTCGCTCTAGACACTGTTTTGCACTGAACTTAAACAGTTAGGGGGGGAATCAGAGCAGGCAGATAGCCTACTGATTTCTACACCGACCTTGGCCTCAATACACTTCAACAGAATGCAGCTACTATAAAATACATGCTGTGCTTTAAGGTGTACAACTACGACTATCCTCTTGCCCATAAAATAATAGTGTTTAAGCAGAAGAACATCTAAAATGTGAAAAGCCGTTATCACAGATTGATCATTACAGTTTGAGTTCAAGGAAACACTGTTTTAATGTTCAACCAGGCAGGGTGTGGGTGGGTGCTTTTTGTTGCATTTAGTAGGTGTGCTTTATAGACACTAAAAGCTTATAGAACGTCTATAGAGTAGGCTTTTTAAAAAGTGACTCAACATCTTACTTTCAGTCTACTAGTGCTTCACTGCACTATTTCAGGCCATTTCTCTCATCTCATGAGAAATGAATACACATGTAGAGTCTTCAAGGACATTATGCTGGAATTTAGATTACAAGCTAATTAGTACTGAATAACACTTCTGTCTTAAAGCTTAAATTTGAAGTTTTAGAAAGTGGTTGAAAAATGATTTGTAGTGTATTGGACTAATGCCAATAAAACACTGAAACAGACTAAGGCCATGGAGTTTAAATATGAAGACATCATGATCACATGACAATAGCGGGTTAATGAGATAGATATAATCAATTTAACGCCCGATTTAAGATGATCTAATCATCATATCACCGATATGAAAACTGGGTTCATCCACTCTGAAACACCTGTTCCTGTGATTAGCTGTGTCAATAACATTATGTCTCTTTAAGAGGAAGGGAATTAATGGGGGGGAAGTGAAGCAAGAAGGCACTACTTCCTCATAGCCCTCACAATCAAAACATTATTCGTGCGCAATGGGTGAGTCTTCATCCTCGAATGGACATTTTCTAATCTAACGCTTGGCGCACATTGCCGGAAAAGCTCCTCGAAAAGCGTTTGTTGCACCATGCTTCAGCTGAACGACACGGTGGAGCCGGATAGTCCCGGCGCTGCGATTCTCCACCCTGCAGAAACCGAGGAGGGGGTGGAGGTTGCCTTCACGCCGCCGGAGGCCGGGCGAAGCCTCGGACACGGAGCGTCCGTGGCCTGCTGCCCCCCGTTACAAACGCTGACACCTTTTCATGTGCACAACCCCACAGTGCAGGCGAAAGTGAAGGACTATTTCGTGTTCAGGGTAAGTTGCTCTAGCTATAAAAGATAACGTTAATCGGCACCTAGGCCGGTTTATTTTTTTAAATCAGAATATGCGTATATCTTCAAAACAGCCCCCTTCAGTGCTCTGGCGCTCTTTAAGGTATTTGTGGTAAATAAACACGACCTTATAGGGAACTAAAGTATATCGCTGAGCTTTAACCAGAGCATCACAGGGAAGAAGGGGACACTGAGATGAGGCTGATGACTGACGGTTGTGTGATGCTGATCTCAGCCAGGTACCATTGAACAGGCTGTGAGCGACATCAGGACTGTGGCACTCCCTTCCGAGGATGGAGAGGTGCTCAGTGTCTGGCTGCTAGCTGAGTAAGTATCAGTATAGCAGCATGTGACTGTTTTATTATCAGCCTGGCACATGAGGCGTCTGTTTGGATGAGCTGCTGTGTACAACGCAGGGTTTATTGTACTAAGGAATTATTGGACACTTAATAAGGCTACAGACTAATAAATAAATGGGTGCCAACGAGCTGTCTGATACTTTTTCCAACACATCTTCTGGTTATTATTCTATATACTTCTATATATTTAAGGCATTGTTTCAAACGACTGTCATCTTTGTTTATTTTGTGTGGAACTACAGAGTTGACCACTGGAACAATGAGAAAGAGAGACTTGTGCTTATAACTGACAGGTAACTCAAAGAAATAAACATATTTAGTTGACTGAGCTTGATGAAATAAATCATATTACATATGACATTTGACACTGTCTTTTGGCACAATTTGTCATCCTCTGACTGTGTGGGCAGGTCTCTGCTGGTGTGCAAGTACGACTTCATCAACCTGTTGTGTCAGCAGGTCATCAGGATCTCTCTCAACGCTGTAGACACCATCTCAGTGGGCGAGTTTGAGTTCCCACCAAAATCCCTAAACAAGTAAGCCAATACACTGAAGTCAGCCAACGGCAAATTAGTATTTACTCTTAAGTGTATTAATGCCCGTGCTATGAACAGGACTCCACTCCAACCACGATAGAAACATTCAGGAAATGATGCACAGGAAAGAAAAAGATAAGAGTTGTAAAAAAAAAAAAAAAAACAAGACACAGAATGAGGGGATAAAATAAATAATTGGAAGAGATGAAATAAAAAGACTGTAGGAGTGCACAGTATCGTGCACTGCTGGCCCATGTACAGCTGATCCCATCGCTCTTACACTGCTATGTTTTTTTGGTTTTAACAGGAGAGAAGGCTATGGGATTCGTGTCCAGTGGGACAAACGTCCTCGGGCCTCGTTCCTTAACCGCTGGAACCCCTGGTCCACAGACATGCCCTACGCCACTTTCACAGAGCACCCTATGGCCCGTGCTGACGAGAAGGTGGCTTCTCTCTGCCAGGTATAATCCCTGTAACCAAATAAGGCTAAATTTGCATTTTGAGTAATTAATCTAATGGATTATTTTTTTTTTTAAAAAACATCTGAGCATTCACAGTTTGAAATGTTACACACTTTTTTGTGTTGGCCTTATTTTACGAGACAGACGATGGTGACCAGTGGTGCCACAGTTCATTTATGCACAGACAGCAACAAACACGGCCCTGCGGCTTTAAAGATTCATGCCATGAGAGAAAGCTAGTCATTCATATTATTTAAATCAGTGTAGCACTGACTTTGTGTATGAACAGTTATTGTCAAAGGTATTTGTGTTTTTACTCATTGGCATGGCAACAGCGGTACCTGGGGCAATTTTCTGGGGATATGACTACATTTTCTCATTCAGAGCCGTTTCTACATGTAATAAACAGACCTCATTTGGCTGTAAATTCTCAATCACATCTATTATTCTACACTTAAAAGCAACTGTAGGAGATGTAGCTTTCATTCTGGACATCTTAGTATACAGTGTAGATCTTCTATAAAACTATGTTAAAATATATATAATTGAAGTTTTTGGAAGGGTGTTGTGGTTTAAGTGTCGTGTTTTTTCTTCTATGATGCCAAGTTGGACAACTTCAGGACCCAGCTGGTGCAGGCAGTGAAGAAAGCTCATAAGGAGCACCCCATCCCCGGTCGGGCTAACGGTGTCCTGATCCTGGAGAGACCCCTGCTCATCGAGACCTATCTGGGCATTATGTCCTTCATCAACAATGAGGCCAAGTTGGGCTACTCCATGACCCGTGGCAAGATCGGCTTCTAAAAGCGCACGGTTTCTCCAAATTAGAAGAGTTCAACCCATGTGTCTGTGTCACACTGCTCTGTCTGAGGGAAGCTGTCGCTCCACAACAGTCTAATGCACAACCTATCAGTGTGTGTAAGTTGAGCCCATGAGATGTCCACACCTCCTTAAGTTGGTGTCACAGACGAGTGGTCAGCCTACTGTAGGTAAATGATGCGCAGCACTGCATGGAATGTGTACTCATTTGTTTTTAGTCCCTCCCAGTCCCTTTCTATCAAAGAGCTGCTCGCAGATCTGCCATACCTGCGCAGGCCCTCAGGAGTGAATGTCCATGTGACATAAATTGGAGAGAAAGGACAGATTAGATTTTGGTAGAGGAGTGCTAAGAACAGAGTTGTTATTTCAGGGGTAAAGATAAGCTTTGTTGGGGCTTTTTTTCTGCAGCCAAAAAGAGACAGTTATCATGTTTCAATGTTTCATATTTGCTACATTAATATGATTTGAAATGAAAGATTGTATTATTCGGATTATAGGGCCATATGATAGGAATGGGATAGCAGCTGATGGATTGAATTTAATGCTCATGTCACATGATCATCGTAATAAACGTTACTAATACGGAAACAGTTCCAGGATCTGCACTGCTACACTGTAAATGTCCGGGCTCAGATATGTTACTTGTGAAAAACGAACAGTTGGGGTACACTTTTCAGCATGTTGTGACTGTCCTCTCTTATTGGTCAATGTTGTGCTACCCATGCTTACATTTGCCTAAAGTATGCCTTTGCTCAGAGTAGGGAGCCGCTGTACCACATGGAGAACTGCATTAGCTACTTTAGCTGAAAAGGACTCGGATGTTACAGATGTTATATGCAACATGGACATGTGTTTATGTTTGCCTTCATGGTTCTTCAACTTACGTGTACATTTGCACTCACCTGCACTAAACTCTGCAGAGAGAATAATGGATGAGTTACACAATTAAATACATGCAAACAAAGCTTTGCATCAGTTAATTAACCACACACTGTATGTATCTTGTGAATAGGATTTAGGTGATTTTCTTGAGCTGCACCCTATAATATGATTGTGCTACCAAAGGTAACAGACCATATTTTCATGCTCAACAATGCCAATGAATAGTGTCCCAAACTTTTTCTGGTCTTAACTTGTGCTTGTTCCCTGCACGTTGAGTTTGCATGACCGATGTTTTTTAACTGAATAATAACAAATCTGTAAATACTAACAAGGTTTTATTTCTCTGCAGTTACTTTGAGGCAGTTAAAACATGAATGACTGTAGAAAATGAACATTGCATTACTAGTTCTGAAGTATTTTATTTAGGGATTTTAAAGAGAGATTAACTGATTATTCCAAACATGTGGGGGGTTACTTTTTGTTCTAGATATTTGTAGCACAGTAGCCACAGTGGAGAATAATAAAGGCCTACATGCTTGTCTGGGCCTCAGCTCTGGTTCTTGTAAAGTACATTTACATTTTGTTCGTACTGTCCAGGACTGCAACAAAGTGATTAAGATACAGCTCAAGTAGCTGTAAACTTTGTTTTAATAAATGGGACAGCATACACACAAACAATGCCTTGAAGCCAAGTAATACGGTCCTAATATATTTAGTCCTGCTTGTTGATTTGTTGTTTGGATTTCTACTGGCATTTCAGTTTAGTCATAGTGGGTCAGAGTATTAAATTCTACCAGTAACAATGCAGTATTTGCAGATTAAAAATAATGTCACTTGTGAAGAATAAAGAACTGATTTAAAATTACACACTGAAAACCTGTATCATGTCTTTGTTCCACCGAGCAGATCCAACACCACAAACACAAGCACTGGGGACTGTATTTGTTGTGGAGATTAATTGGTTTTAACTCTTTAACTGTTCTCACTAAAACAGCAGCACGAACTGCACTATTTTATCAGGTTACAAGGCACTGAATACACAGATGGTTTTGAAAAACAATAAAGTTTAATAACTCACTGTTAGTTGCATTGCTTATGACAAAATTTATTCAAAATAGTTATACACTTTCATGGTAATACACATACAAAATAGATCAAACTAAAAGTACAGTGAAATCTATAAAACTTTGTAAACATCTATCTTCTCACAGTGTTTGGAACTAGTGCTTCAGGACAAACTTATGATTTAAATAGTGATATTTAGCCAACATATCGACAAGAAAAGGAACATCTCAGTAACCTGCACTGAGGGCCTTGGTGAGCAGTTACATGTGAAAAGTAAGATTAAGAGGAGGAGTGTTCCTACCAGTCTTTTGGTCATCACCTTAACACATTCCCAGCCAAGTGCTTGTGGCTTCATAAGCCTGAACTGTGATCCGGTTATTCTTGATACCTGTGTTTTTGTGTGTATTACTTGTCCTCCTGGTCTATGTCCATGTAGCACAAACAAAGCTGCTCCTTTCCAAGCAGGATCAGAGAGTCTCCACTGCAGTGCCAGCTTAGTGACTGGACCTGGAATCCACCTGGTAGAAGAGAGAAAAAGAGCAACTGTGATGAAAACACACCTACATATGAACAAAATGAAGATGGAAAAAAAAACACTGCATTTTAAGAATCAACACTGAGGTTTGTTCAGTTTGTAGTCCTTAAAAAAAAAACAGTATTCAGTTCTTTGCCACTTAAGGTTTTCTAAGTACAACACAACAAACCTTTCGGGATAAAACAAAACACACAGCAGCAACATAGATGAGCATCCAGCATGTGAAAGCTGAAATACCACAGATGTGATCTACTGGTAAACTAAAAACAGCAGATATATCTTGCATCTTTTCTGTAGCATAAGAAAACTATATCCATGGCATGTCTCATTGTGGAGGTTCCCAAATTCAAAATAGAGCTTCTTTTTGTTCCAAATCTTTTGTTCCATTCAGATGTAATAAACTGCAGCAGGTTACATCCCGATTTCTTTGGCAGGTTTTAAATTTTAAATTGCATCTAACAGTGACTGTTCCAATGCCTGCCATGGCAAAATTAAAGCGAAGTGTAGATCTTTGAGGTTAGTGTTAACTAGGCCTTTGTCCCATAATTTTATTTGATTTGATGTCCTTTATAGCTTTCATTCGTAGTCCGGTGTACACACAATATAATGCTGAGCAAAGCAGAGCATGTTACCTTCAGTGGGGACCTGGACAGAGACACAGCCTGCTGGGGACCAGAGATAGAGTTTGGTGTTGGCTGTACACAGTGCCAGCCGTGGGCGCCGGGGGTCCCACTGAAAGCAGCGCACAGCTGATGTCTGCTCCAGCACAGCCTCCAGGCTCATCTTCTGCATGTCCCACACCCACACAACACTGGCCATGTTGTCTACAGTCAGAGAAACACAGATACACACTCAAAACCACTCTCAGCTTATAGAGCTCTGAAGCATTGCAGCACAAATAGTCAAAACAGTTTTTCTCAAACGCTTTGATGCAATTCTTGCATCAGAAACGTCACTCTTCACTCCTCACGTTCTCAAAACCTCATCATATCCCCACACACATTAGAATCTCTCATTTGTACAAACTTCTATTGTATCCACACATAGTTCACTACTAAAGACGTTTTCTCATTGTATTGATGAATTTCTCATCCGACTCTGACAACTCATGAAAACAGTTTGTACCTTCATCAGATAGAATGACAGACCACTCACTCTGATAAGGCCCTGCATTGTGTGTGTTTTCAATCAAATCTCTTTAAAATTTCTTCAAATATGTATGAGAGAGCAAGACCTCTCTCTCACACATGCACGCACGCGCACACGCACGTGTGCGCATGCACACACATGGTGATCTCAATCCAGACTGTTCTCATCCGTGGTACCTTGGATGGTGGAACAAACTACCCAATCCTATCAGAGCAAGGGCGTCCCTCTCTATCTTCAAGAATCCCTCGAAAACTCATCTCTTCCAAGAGTAGATCCTTTCCTAAAACCCTAACATGTCTAACTATTACTAACTGTGCACTTTTGGTGCACTTCATTAAAACAATCTCCTTGCACTTTTTAAATAGTACTTATATGTAGTACTTAATATTTACACTAAGGTTCCTACTGCACTGAAGCTTACTAAGTCGCTTTGGAGATATATATATATATATATATATATATATATATATATACACACATACTGTGTGTAGTGGGAATTTACTGAACTATAATTGATGCTATGTTTACGTTTGATTGCATATTTTTCTTTGTCTATTTTCCGATGCATAGTTCCATGGTTAGGGTTAACCTTTTTTTTTTAATTTTTTTTCTTTACAACTGCTTTCACACATTTTCTAACCTACGTCTCATTTTTTCAAAACTCTACACAAAAAAACGAAATTGCACACAAAATGCAAAGTACCTCATATCTGCTGCAAAACTAAACACTGCATTGAAAATATCATAAACACATCTAAAAATCAAATGACCAACACTTTTGTCCTTATAGTGAATTTCTGGATACACCATGTTCTAAATCTAAAGCTCTTCTGTCTTCCATAGGCTTGTATATACATTTCCATACAGTGCTCTAAAGGGACAGTGCAGTAATCTGCTGAGAGGGGTTGAAATGTACACAGTACAGTAGACACCAATGCAATATTGAAACAATAGTTATTTTCCAAAATGCTACTGTTGTCATATATAGGTAATAGGTTAGGTTACTGTTAACATATATAGGAATGTATGTAATACAATACCAATACATATTGTACAGTAACACTGGAGTAGCCATTAGACAGGTGCATATCTCTCATCTCTGATGGATGCCACTGTAAACCGACTCAGTCCAGCCTCTCTCATAGTTAGAGTATATTATTCACATTTCATTGCTGTGTCTGAATATTTTTTACTTTATATTTTTTGCAGAACTCTTTTTCAGAAAGCCGGTATGGTTTTTATCAAGATATCAAAACATTTGGCATCTTGAAGCTCTGGTGAAAAGGTTTGATTCATTGGTGACAATGTTGAAGTGAGCGACTGACTTTGCATGTTTCGACACGTGACCAAGGTTTTGATTGTTTTAAAAGCTTTTTCACAGGTCATTTAGTGTTGTTAGAAATGCATTAACTGTATTGAGAACTCCATTAAGAGTGGTGAGAAGTGGTGAAGCCGGAATTGCACCAAAGTGATTGAGAAAAACTGTTATACATATAATAAAGTTGTCTTGGGCTCACCATGAAGGTAAAGCTGAACAGCTGTGAAGTCTTACCATTTTTGGTAGCTAGGAAGCGACTGTCTGAGCTGAATGCCAAGTTAGAGACACCGATCTTGGGGTTGGCTCGGTCTGGGTCTGGTTTGACCACGGGAATTTGGACTGGCAGTGGACAGATCTCATCTGGATGAGGCAAAAACAAATTTGACTTTGTGTTTGGAAAAGCTTGAACTCATCTTTTTAAATAATGGAAAAAGCAGACGTACATTTGCTCTGGGTGTTGAAGAGGGTCGTGCCAATTGTGATGTTGTGTAGTGACAGGTCGTCACTGCCAACAGCTGGCCTTCTCTCCACTTCCTTATACACAACCTAGAAACACAACAGTCATTAAGTAATTGAACTGCAATGCCTTCAAGACTCATCTGGAAGACCTGGAAAATACTCACAGCTTTTGTGCAGTTGATGGTTGCAGGGTGGTCCAACTGTGCAATTTTCTTCCATGTTATGTGATTGAGGATGCGCACCTGACATGATGATATTAACGTCTTTTGTCATTTTATTGCACTGTACTGATATTGACATTTGCACAAAAAA